GAACATTTTCTGAAAAGCACATTATGAGCTAGAGAGATACATTTCTCAGCACCTCCAACAATCTGCCTTAAGTGCTAAATTACTGCTTTTATAACCCCCTGAAATCTGAATTCTGCCCATCTTTAAAAAACAGTGCAATACAAGCAGTGTAGCAATCCTTAGTTCAAGGTACACCATGGCATGCACAGAACTCATCTATAAAAGACATCAGAAAAAGGTCCATCTAAACAGTTATTGGCACCTACATTGGGCCAGCAGATACACAAGGTACAGGCTCTACATTCTACATTTTTCTTTACTTGGAGCAGAGAGCTGAAAGTCGATTCCACCAACAGCGGGTATTTTATTTCATCAGATGAAATGAGAAGCTGGACTTCTCAGCATGACACAACAGCAACCACGTTTTCTTTGCCGAAGCGCTCTTTTTATTCATGCGACTTGTCGTTACTGAGGGTAACTATGTTTTCAACTTCCATAAATAGCTAAATTGAAGATATGAAGAGACTTTTTGAACTCAACTTATGCAATTTTCAAATTGATGGCATAACTCTGAAGCAAGTTTAAAATCTGAAAAATGAGGAACAGCAACACTGCCCCTAGGATGCAAGTCCAGAAACACCACCATCTATGCTAAACCACCATAAATCCTTTTTTTTGAAGTATCTTCTAGAAATACCTCCCTTTTTCATCATGTATACAGAAGCAAGACCTACAGCAAACAAAAAGCCCATATAAACTCTGAAACAGCTTGGGGAAAAAAAAAAAAAAGTACATCAAAAATAACATTCAACTGAAATTTCCAGTTCTACTTTAATACGTTTGCCACATCTTATTAAGATCTTTGGGAAGTACTCAGTTACAGCTGTAAAAATCTCATCTGCACCTGTTCACCCTTCCTACTACTCACATACATGATGAAAATTGATCCAGTTTCCTGACTGTATTCTTGCTTTACAAGTTAGAATACTACTAGTTACTACTACTAGAGATTCTCAAAGGCTGTTCGCAAGTCTTTCAATTCTCACATTCAGTTTTAGTCTTCCAGCCCTTCCACAGACTTAGTAACAAGCTAAAACATACATCCTATACAGAAAACATTCCCTCCCCTCTTCCTTCCTTTAGCTGTAAAGGGATCTTCTAATAAAAATTTCTCTTGAAAAATAAAATTGTGAGATTGTCAGATAATAAAGAATATCTTTATGACGATTTTCTGTGTTTATCATCACCATCACCTTTTCCTCATTTCTGTTTTTTGCTTCACTGTTGGATGAAATGCACAAGCAGGTGGAAAAAAAAAAATCTTGCATCAGACTAAAAAATGAAAGCAACTCCATGGAAAATGCTGTCAAGGACAGGGAGGCAGTTATTAGCTCTCTTATCCTTCACTCACAAAAACTGCTTTTGAGTAATGGTAAACAACATTTGAGATTAAGTTAAAATAATTCAGTTAGAGCAGCCTTTATAAAGGCTGCAAAATACATAGATTTTTTTAAGATTTTACCTCACGGGTAACTTAAGACTTACACAAGTCCGTACAAAATCTTACTGCAAGCATCCAAAGCACAATAAAGTATAGTCTAGGAGAGATATAAAACTGATTTTGAATAACTATAAATATACGAAAGAATTCACTGCAGTATAAGTATTTCCCCATACTTAAGTTTCAAAAGCATAAAAAAAACTTTTTCTACATTTCTAGAGATGAAACACTAAGCTCAAAAGATCATATCTAAAACTGACATGATTTAATAACTGTACTAATAAATCAAGGTAACTAATGCAAAACCAAGAAACTATATGAGAATCACACACTAAAATGAATCCATACCATGATTCAAGCTAAGAAAATAGAAAGTGACCTACATTTTTGCAGATGGAAATATTAGAAGGGAGGATGAATCTACAAACATACAAATATTTATGGCATACCACACAAGCTGACGGCAGACTAGTCAGGAGAACTCGGGGTGGTGGTTTTCTTTGCATTTGATTTTTGGTTGGGCTGTTTTTCTTTGTTTTTTAAATAGAGAAACTAACAGTATTATTTGTATCCTCCCTTTAATAAAGTTTGTAAATTAATTTTCCATACAGCATTCTGCCAAGCATCTCCTTTTTTGTTAATCTTTACCATGACTTGAAATAAATACATATTAAAGCAATCATTCATACCAGGGAAATAAAGGTTACAGTTTTCAAAGAGGATACACTTCACACTGTCTATATTTAAAAGGCTGATATGCCCTGATAACAGGCGTAGAAAGAGCTGCAAATGGTGTACAAAAAACTGAACAGGGCTAAAGTCTTAAAGATACTGGCACATCTTTAAACACAATTATATACAAGTTTAAGGAAAGCTGAGAGTTAATCTAAACCAGGCATTACATGGGTCAGCTGCTTTTTCAAAGGCACATTATATGGAATTTCACAGCTTCTTCACTGGCCCAGTTATGTCATCACTTACTTCTTTCTTCTACCTTCTTCCTTGCCAGGTTTATAATCACTGGGGATGTATTGATATGAATCTTCAGTGATGTATACATGTGTATGCACATGAGACAGAGAAATTAGGATTTTACATGTTTACAATATACCTGCTTCTTAACTGTTTATGTACTTTTACAATACACTACCCTTTGTCTCCTGTAGAAGAGGGAATAATCTAACAAACAAAAACCTTTCTAGAGAACTCTAATTAAGAGAAATCCAATGGCCAGAAAAGTCAGAGGCCAAGCAGAACAGCATAGCTTGCACTACCTTTAATGAGCAATGAGGTCTAAGCTCCGGACCAAAAGAAATTCCAGTCAAGATCACAATACAGTTAATACCTCACCCTGTCATCCCATGGAACAGGAAACAGAAGCAATGGCACTAAGTTTTTAATGTTACACATATACAGGGAGAACTGCTGCTGTAAATTATCTGATTGGACAAAAGTGACCTGACTGCTACTGCCATGCAAAAAAAAAAAAAAACCACAATTATTTTTGGTCTCCATTTAATAGAGTCATATCCTGCTCTGTGTAAAGAATCTAAATGATTTTCCAACAGCAGCTAAACAAAAGTGTAGTCTACCTGGAGATGACACAAAGACACAACGCGCATGGGAGAAGAAAGGATATGATCTTTGGCTAGCTAAATAACAGAGGAAGAAGGTATTTCTGGCTATTGTTACCCTGAGGGATTTAAGTATTCTGGAAAAACTACCAATCGTGACAAACAGCTAACATATGCTCTTAAAATCAGGGTACAGTCACATGCTAGATGTCATTTTCCAAAACAATGAGTATCAATGAGCTTATGATCCTCTTACTCAACCCTGAAAGCTTAAGAAGCTTTGGTTGGATGCTTGGTTAGAAAAAAACAGCAACACACAGAACACCACCAAACACAAACAGGACACATGAAGAGCAGAATTAATGTCCTGCTGTAGAAAGATCAAAGGAAGGAAAATGAAAAAAACATTTGAGAAAATTCACTGCTAGTAGCATACTGGTGATACTGTGGGCTTTAACACCTCAATCTGTCTTCTACCACCTTCATGTACTTATTGACTAAAAAACAATCAGAATGAAACAGTTGGGACTTGTCTTCTAGCACTTCTGGAAGACAAGCTGCTACTCATTATAGCTCTCTGGCATCTTAGACATGATGAAAGCCACTAAGGCAGTCAACACCTCATGATCAACATAATCAGATACTGCTGATAGAATTAGTATTTTCAACAGTAAGAATCAAGCCTCTTCCAGCAACCTCTTTTGGTTTGTTTTTTTTTAATAAACTTTGGCCACTGATATTACTCCTGATTTAAGATATGGCACCAAGATGATACTTAAGAAGCACTTCACCTCCCATTGCTATCCCATTTCCCCCCCCATGTAGGTGTTTACTGCCTTATTTCCACCCTACAGCCCCCCCCCCCAAGTCTTCAGATTTTCTTCTCTGTCCTCTCCCACATTCTCAAGACAAGCTGTTTATCTTAAAGTTACTTCTATTAATGTAGCTGTTGCTTAGACAAGAAGTTCTCAGGGAGAACCACCACAGTATTGCTGTCCATTTGTAAATGCATGTAACAAGAGATTCTCAATACAGTGAGGAATTTCCACACATAATATCGAAGAATTGCACTCTAGAACCACTGTTCAGATCACTTCAGCCTGCACATGCAAGGACCTTTCAAAGCTGACACAGCTTCTCTGCAAACACTGTCAAAGAAATAAGACTACTGACATGCACATACTACTTACTAGGACCAGCCAATGGCCATTTATCTGAAAAAGTGCAAGTGGGAGAACATGTGCAGTTTCTTACTATGACTACAGAGAATCAGCACATCAAATTCAAAGGCTCACTACTCCTCCACAGGCCTGAGCGGCTCTCGCAATGGATTAATACTTTGAAGCAAAACCACCAAGACCAAAAGTGCCCCAAGTTCAATTTAAAGAGCCACAACAGTGTGGCTGAACCTCCCTTTTCCCACCATACTCATTTGCTTAAAGCGTTGCTTGGCTGTCAAAGAGAAGGTTTCTACATACACCACAGACTCACAACTGGTTCAACCTGAGTAAAGGCAATACTTGAAAAAGAGAAGCTGAAGCAGGATGAAGTCCAGGCTTGTAAAAAAAAAAAAAAAAACAAACCTAAGAATAAATATTATTTCAATATGATAAATAATCTAAACTACAATCACTACTATCATACCCACATTCCACAGTATTCTTTTGTCTTCCTCTATACAATGGGAAGACACACTGTCGCAGATTGTTAAACACAATTTACCCACGCAGTAGTTTCAGAGCATAATCAATACAACCCACCCCCTCAAGAGAAAAACAAGTATTTTAATATAATACCTACATGCGCTGGGACCTGAGAAATAATATTTCTAATTAGACACAAACATCACACTACTTCATTTCACAGAATGGCTGTAACGAGACCTGCAAGTTTGCAAAACAAGCTATCAGGCAATCTATCTTTAATAAAGTTACAAGCAGTCTTACCTTTCATCCTCACCATCTACCAGAGGTGTCGTCAATGGCAGCACCTTCAGTGGAAAGAGGGAAGCAGAGGATGGCACATTGCTGCTACCGCCATCCGAAACGGCCGACGCTCCAACACCACTCTCACCACTGGCAGCTTGAGGTAAACCCACCAAGGAAGGCTCTGTAGGGCGCCTGCCATCTTCAATTTGGCTTACAACGGACTGAACTAGTGACTGTGCAGGGAACTGGGTAGAGCTTAGCGGCATCTGCTGTGGCACACTCTGTGCCACTGGCATACCTATACTTGTTGATATCAAGGGAGGCTGACTAACACTTTGAGACAAATTCCCATTCTGCACAGCCGAAGCTTGTGTTATGTTCTGTGGCTGTCCCAAACCTATAGAAGCAGAAGGTATGCCAGGAGGCACAGCTGAACCAGCTTGAGTTGGTGCAGGAACAGTACTAGCAGAAGGTATAGGGCTAACTGCAGGTAGCTGCTGGCCAGTCATCCCTTGGACAACAGATTCCACTCCTTGTGCCTGTGGCTGTACAGGTAACAAAGTGCTTTGCTGAGCTATGACCATTTGCTGAGGAAGGCCTGAAGCGCTAGCCTGTAATCCCTGCTGCATTATTCCTGTCTGCACAGGCTGCACTACTTGTGAAGATGGAGGAGCAGCCGTTGACGGCATAACTGGAGGTGGAATTTGGTTTGCAGCAGATGGTGGTTGCACCACAGCAGCTACACTCCCTTGCTGCCCAACATTCAGCATTTGACCACTGGTACCTACACCTGGTATTGCTGCTGGAGCATGTGCAACAGGCTGAGCTGGGGCAGCGGCTGGATGTGCTTGTACTGAAGGCTGCATGCCCTGTGCCTGGGCAACGGGAACCGGTTGCCCTGCTCCTACTCCTGCAGAACTAGGCTGCATGGCAGGGGCTGGAGTCTGAAGGATCTGCTGATGCTGAATGTAGTCTGGCACAGCCCCTGTCACGGAGTTTTGGTTCATCGACTTAACATGACCTGTGGCCATCTGTGTAGGAACTGTCTGTTGCTGCTGCTGCTGTTGTCCATACTGCAACTGCTGCTGCTGCACAACCGGCAAAGTCTGCACAGGCGGCGCTGGCTGAGAATATGGTAGCTGCTGTTGAGCCATACTTTGAATGCCAGGCTGCTGGTGGCCCATAGATGGGGATACACCTAGTATATTAACTGGGGCTGGCTGAACCCCAGTAACAGTGGTTAGACTGGCCTGTGCAGGAGGCTGGACCCCTGGCTTCTGCTGTGGATAGTTTACTTCTTGAGAATGCAGCTGGACTTGTGCAAGCTGTGATTGAGAAACACTCTGTGGTATACTTGATGCTGGAATTGCCGGAGGAGCAGCACTGCTAAAATCCATCTGCTGTGGACCCACACCTTGAAATGCTTGCTGCTGTACCACAGGAGGTGCTCCCATTTCTCCACTTCCCACACTTTCTGTATAGTGACTCAGTGTGCTTACATTGCTGCTAACAGAACTCCCACTGGTGCTCTCCCTTTCAGAAGTCACTTCAAGCGGGTTTTGTTTTATTGTCTCTACTGCTTTGTTTACTGCTACTCCTTCAGAAACTGCAACGGTGTTTTCTTTATCATAGAATTCAGTGCATGTCCATCTACCTTTTTTGAAAGGTTCAGAACTAGAATCTAATTTTACAACCCTAAACCTTGACGTGCCAGATGCAGGCTGCTGCTGGCTTGATCCAACTGCCATTCCTGCAGTTGGATTAGTAACATTGTTAATGACACTAGAGGAAGCACTCGTACCATTGCCAACACCACTCAAGATATTCACATTAACATTGCTGCCAGTTCCAGACAAAGCATTTACATTAGCAGTACTCGTGATGTTGCTCAAGTTTATAGTACCAATCACACCACCTGCCACACTAGAACTACCACTACCCATATTATTTAAGGTACTAGTTCCGGTAGCAGGACTTACACCTAAATTTCCAGGAGTACTTGTAGTGCGGATATTAGACACGACAGATGCCGGAGAACCAGTGGATGATGCAGCAGAAACTGGTGCAGTTGATATAACATTGTCAGAGCTTCCAGTTGTTGACAGTTTTCTAAATGATGGACTGGGCGGTGGTCCTCCGGAAACTGGGGCACTGCCCACCCCAGGATGTGACGGATGGTGGTGTCCATGATGGTGGTGGTGAAGATGGTGGTGGTGATGAACATGATGGGGGTGAACACTTCCATTGATCACAACACTCTGCTGTGGGTGATGAGGCAGAGGAGCATGCTGCTGAGGAAGATGAGGCTGGTTTGGAGAAACAGCCCCAGGAGTCTCTGCCTCTTGGAAGTTATTTAAAGTCTCTTCAGAAGAGCTCCTCTCAGGTTCTCCCAAGTCAGTGGCCCTGGATAAAGAAACATCCAAGATTTCCGAAGATGACAGATCTTCAGTGTGGGACTCATCCAGGTCATCATAGCTCTCTGTATCCTCAGCTATGCTGTTATTAGAGCTCATACTAGCTGATATTTGAGCAGGGGTCACACTGGTGATTTGGAAGCCACTTTTCTTTTTCATTTGAGCTCCGGTCTGTGCAAGAGGCTGTGGCTGGAGCTGAGACTGCGAGAGGAGGTTCAGGCTTTGTGGAGGAGGGGGTGTCGGCTGTGGACCCGCTGATGAAGATGCTGCAGGAGACAGAGGCGGCGGCTGGACCAGCAAAGGTGGCTGATAATCCTCGGCAGAGAGGGCAGCGCTCCCAACGCCGGTACCTGGTGCAGTGGGAGCAGTAACGCAGCTGCTGCCGCTGCTACTGCTGCTACCCCTTCTAGGAAACATTGCCGGGTGCGCCATCTTCCTAGCACTAATGTCTGCGGCTGAGTCAGGCTGGTGCATTGTATCGGGTGTATTTTAAGAGTGCAATCCCCCGGTATGGAGAGAGACAGACACACACACACACACACACACACACAGTTAGCTTTGCGCTCACGGCAGGGCAGAGAGAAACCACGCACAACCCCCCCGGCTCCCGCAGAGCATGGGCTAAGGCACCTCGGCACCGCCGCTAACCACCCCCCTCCCCTCAGAGACAGAGAGGGGGCGAGGACCGGTCCTCCACCGCCTATAGATTAGCGCCTCTGAATGTGACACTTTCAATCCTCCGCCATTCACTTTCTTTCTCCCTCTCGCCCCCCCCCCCCCCTTTTGATTGCCACCACCACCCCCTTCCTCAGCCGCCACCGCCCCCGCCCACCGACTGCGCCTCTCCCGGGGGTGGGCAGGGGCCGGAGGAAATGCCGGTGGCCCTGGGGGCGAGCCCCTTCCTCCCCGCGGCTCGCCGGCAGCCGGCAGAACCGCCCTCGCCGCGGCTGGCGCCACCGGGCCGCCGCCTCTTTCTCCTCGGCGGGGTGAGGGCAGCCGGCAGACCCTCAGGGCAGCCCAGCGGGGCAGACGGCGCCCCTCGCCATCACTGCTGTAGTAGTAGTAGTAGAAGAGCGCAGATACGTACAGGACTGGCGCACAGGAGGGCGGCAGCGGTAGGCTGAGCCGGGCAGGGACATCCCCGTCAGTGGCAGCCATGGAGCTGAATCATTTTGGGTATTAAAAAGACGGAATAAGGAGAAAAGAAAAGCAGCAGCAGCAGCAGCCCAACAAGAGAGTCCATCAAAAGGAGGGAGGAAGGGCGAGCCAGCCAGGCAGCCTCTCTCTCCTCCCTCTGTGTCTGGCTGTCTCTGGAGAAGGCTCCCCTCCGCACGCTCTTCCTTCCCCCTCCGTCTCCTCCCCCTTTATAACAGGCGGCACCCGCTCTTCCTCTGCAGCACCGCGCCTGGGAGCAGTCCTCCTCCCGCGTGTGCGCCTGCCCCGTCCTTTCTTCCCCACGGGTCGGTGGCGGCCGCCCTACCGCCGGGTCTGTCCCCCGCCCGGCCCCGTCTCCTCACGGAGCGCTGGAGGAGGGCGCTGCGCGGGCTGCGGGGGGAGGGGAATGCTCGCTAAAGGGGAGGGCGGGCGAGAGACAACGTAAGATGGCGGCAGCCGCCGCGCATGCGCGCCCCGCTGGCAGACATAAAGCCCGTCTGGCCGAGGCCGGCGGAAATGGGTTCGGTTTGCGTGGCGGAAATTACCGAGCGGCGCCGAGCCCGTGGAGGGGGAAGGAGGTTTTATCCCCATGTGGCGGCACTCCGGGATGGTTAGGGGGCGCCGGGCGGGCGCAGGGCTTCCTCCCTCTCTACTTCCGTCCTTCCTTCCTTCCTTCCTTTCCCTCGGCCCTCCCTGCCTCTCCTTCGGGCCCGCAGCATGACTGTGCCTCACATGACCTCCTGCTGCCGCCTCCCTCCCCCTCGCTTCAGCTCCGTTGCAGATTTATTCAAGTTGTTCATCACCTTCTTCTTCCTCCCCTCCCTCGGTCCAGAATATTCCTGCCCGTTCCTTCCCCCCGCGCACGGGGAAAGCGGGGGTGCCTCCCTCGGAAGCTGCCTTCCCCTTTGTGTTTCCCCGTCCGCCGACGGGGGTCGCGGCGGGTGACTCCTCACGCCCCGACATGGCCGCTGCGCATCACCGATCCCCAGCCGCTGGCAGGGCATGAGGTGTGGTTCCGGTGGCGGGGGCAACGACGCCCGGCGGGTCAGGTGAAATCGTTTATCTGCATTCACAAGGGAGACGTATGAGTGACAAGCAGCTTCAGATGAGAGGAAAACCACCTGAGAGCTGCTCTGAAAATGGTGCTGTTCAGCGGTATTTTCAAGTTGCTAAATAGAATTGAGGTGAAACCTTTCGACCTTCCCACACTGTTTCCGTGTCAGCATCCCACAGGTCGAGAGACTGCGTGGGCCTCTCCAGAGCCAAATGGCAAAGCTTGATGCACCTACCATGTCAGGGCTATTCCAGGTCTCCCTGGTCACAAACTGAGCTGCCTCTCATTGCAGAGCAATGACCACGAGATCTCTGAAGATGCTCGATGTGTGCATGTCTGCCAGATTTTCCTTCATGTCCTTGCAGCTGTTGGCACACACACGCAGCTGCCCAGCAGGTAGGCAGGTATCTCATGGCTGCACAAACCCAACATTCTCACCATCAGCGTTATGTCACCTGTCCCATCAACAAGACCCTCTCCAGGGGCTCTTTCAGAGCAAAATTAGTTGGATATCTCACATTCTTACAAAGAGGGGTACAGGTTTATGCTCTCCGCCCCTTTTTCTCCAGCAGCTTGGTGTGCACCAGTGCCCAGAAAGCTGCTCATGTTCTCACCACCTGGCAGCACGCCCTTGTCTCCAAACACACATCCTTGAGTGGAGGTCTCAAATCACCGCTTTGAACTGTCTGGTTTCCATAGAACGATAAAATGCTCACAGAACTTGACTGGCTCAGGCTGATTCTGTGAACTGTGAAGCTCACTGGTTAGAACAGTCAGCAAGGTACAGGAGAAAAAGATCAGGGTTTGGTGTTTGCTGCAGTGCATATTTAAGCACATCATGAAGAATATTAGAGCTATAACGGGAGAAGAGTTGTGAGAGTCCAAGGCATTATATCATTTAGCTGAGTCATTAGAGAGTTCTTATGGGAGATGTAAATGTTAGTTCCTTCAGGCAGAGAAGAGACTTCAGTCTCCCATGTTTGGTGTGTGGTGTTTAATCACTGAGGTAATAAAAGCTGTTTTTCTAGCTCTATTTTGTAAAAAGGGTGAGGGTTCAAGGTCACACACAGTGGGAGCGTTTGGTGCCTATACCTGAATTTCACTTTCCCATTTTGCCTCTCCCTGTTAACCTAGCTTACCTAGTTCTCACTTGTGGGCACAGGGTGGATTTGAGAAAATCACGGCTTTTGCAGCCAAATTCCTTTTATGCCTGGAACACAGACATTCAGCTCAGATCTCCAGGTACCTGAAAGATAGACTTGCAACTCTTGCTCCTTCCATGGCTCCAGGACACTGCCTGTATACAGACACTATGAAAAGATTGACATGTAATTAAATAAGATTCTGCCTTTTCTGAGAGCTAGACTATATTTTTAAAACTGATAATCAGAACAGCTTGAAAACCATGCTACATGAACATGAGCTCCCTGTGGGAAGGTGCCTTTGTGTAACTCTCACAAATTTCAGGAAAGCATCACAAAGCTACCCACAATCTGTCCCGATGCTTGGTGCAGCACTGAGGCTTTATATGTGTCTTTAATGAGATACTCAGATGTGTAAATATTTTTGAGATGAGCCTGAGGTTGCAGGCCAACTTCCATTATAAATTCCTGTTATGTCTGCTTATAACTTTCCCAGAACAATTTCCTTGAGGAATTAAGTCTTCTATGATTAGTTGCAGCTCAGAGATGATTTTTTGAATGTTTGAACAAAGTCCAGCTACTTTTAAAGCAGTGTGCTACAGATGAATCTGTTTCTGACCTAAAAAATCTGTGGAAAAGTAACTCAGAAAGGGTTGAGCTATAAACGTTGCATGCACATAATAGACATCAACAAGCCTGAAAAAGAAAGCAGTAGTATTGTCGTTGGTTGAATGTTTACTTTTGCCCACACTAGCTTATATTAATTTTGAGTAGTTACTAGTCTTTTGGGCTATAAACTTCTCACTACAGCATGTGAAGCAGTTCTTTAAATTGGGCCCATATAGTTCTCTTCTTAGACAGGAGATACTGAAAAAAGAAAGGAAATGTAAATGAGTTTTAACTTACCTGCATAGTGTGGTCACTGTTTAGTTAATGATCCAAGTGATGGTCTCAACTAAAAGCACATCTGAAGTGCCATGTTTGAAAATAGTTTTTTTAATGCTGTTTTTAAATACCAACATTTCCATTACACCTGTTTTTCTTTGCTTAGTCATTTTCATCAGGTATATCCTCGCACTTTTCTTCATTTTTTTGTAAGCCTTAGTCTAAGCGTGAAAATGGGATTCTCAAAGACTTTCATTCCTTTTCACATCCATTAAGGTTTATGAAATTAAACATAAAGCATTGAAATTGATAATTTAATTGTTATGAATTGTGTTATTCAGTTTTTGTTCAAAGTGGGAAAAGAAATTTCATCATATAGCTCATTTACAAAACACTAAATATTTCAAAAATACAGCCACAAAACAATTGACCACCTTCAGGTTTGGACAGTAAGTGGAATTGCCCAATAGTCCGCACAAGTCCACCAGCTGTTTTTTAATGAACTGTATCCATCAACAACTGGAACCAGAGGTGCTTGTGTCATCACTGCGTGGATCCAGCACCTTGGTTATGATGACTTGCTCATGCCCTTGCTCATGACTACAGGGCAGGCGGTCCTGCAGTCCCGTTATTACCTCAGCTGGAGACTGAAGATTACTGGAGGGTTGCCAGTATGGAGGCATCCCCTTGGATTTCATATCCTATATGCATGCCTCCCGAATGAGCAAACACAGATGGACTTGATGCAGCCCTTGCTGCCAGGTAGGGAGAGTAAGTGTCTGGAAGAACTCTTAAAAATCTTTAAACTCTTACCATTTAAAATCAACTTTAAAATCTTACCACTCATGTTAACACAAAAGAACAAGGTCTTTGCAGTGTAAATATTTAGAGATCTGGCTCCCATATATGTAATATTTCTTCAGACAGGAAACAACAAGCATTGTTGCCACCACAGCTTCTCCAAGGATACCAGAAGAAACAGTACTTTAATGTTTTCTTTCTTTGGCTCCTTTTCTATCTGACACAGTTGTATGTGTTCATCCTGGCGTATGCAGTAGTTTATGTCTTTGTGCAGAGTAATTAAAAAGCAAACAAACAGGAATACTGTGGGGTTTTTACTCAAAACAGAATCATGGCAAAACACTGATGTATTTTAAACTCTGAGTGACTGCTTCATAAATAATTTTTTGAAAGCTTTAATGAAAAGAAGTTTTTTATGATACGAAGCTGCCATTGTTAGACAGAAAGCTTTTCTGTGTTCATTAATATTGCTGACTGTAGTCTCTACGTTGATTTGCAAAGATGTATATTCTTTTTTTTCTTCCTTCTTAAGAGAAGTAATCATTAGAAAATTCTCACCTTTCAGCTCTGAAAATGTTGTAATTCTGCTTCTGCATTTTCTTAGAAAGTTCAAGTCAAGTCTTGAGCTTCCTTTCTTGTTTTGTTTTTAGTTGGCTGGTTAGTTGGTTGATTAGGTTTACTGACTGATTCCAAAACACCTACTGAGACATTTTTTAG